TCATACTGAGAACATTATTTCTGTTAATGTGAAGCCACAATAGACGCCTATTGTCACCTCTTCGTCAAGAGCATTGTGAACTAAAATGAAAATACCCTCGCGTGATGCAAAAACTGGAAACTCAATTAAACAGCGATTCTGCAGCGGTTTTATACGTTAAAAACCTTTGTTTCGATTTTCTCTTCTATTCCATTGTGTTAATGGCGAATATCGTTTGAAGCAATTTATTCAGAAACGAGTGTACTAGGTTTTATGCATTTCTCATTTTGCAGCCTGACAACATGGAGCTCGGTATAAATGTTATTATTTATCTTGATTAGGGAGCGTTTCAAGTATGGTGAATGCTTTAGGAGTATAATTGCAGTGTTTTGCATTGCCATATTAGTTCTCGTTTATGTTTAACTTCTTAAGTTCAGAAGTAAATCTCTAACAAATAAGAGCACAAATGTTCACGCTACACATAAAGCATTATAATCAAAATACATTATGTAAAATTTTCAAATGTAATATTTGTTTCTTTTTATAAAAAATGGTCCTAGCGAGTTTTTTTATGTCACAAGATTAAGTGTTTAAACATTTTGTGATGTAACGCTGTTTTCTAGCGTTACATCTGAAGTGGAACTATAAGAAGTCATATAAACTTCTTATAGTTCCACTTCTAAAAACTAAATATAATTTTAGATACCTTACATAATTACCGATTTAAATAGATGTTTTATGTACATAAAATCCGTTTAACAATTTATATAGAGAATTCAATGTTGATTTCACCTTCATCATTTGTTTTGTTTACGCGGAATTTATATAAAATTATTATTAATGAATGGTATTTACGTCAAACAAAATTAATTTCCTATTGTTCAATTATGTTTATTGAATATTTAATACCTTGCCTAATATTCATATATGGAACTTTATTTTATACGTCTGATATATTGAATTGAACTGATATTTGGTTTATAACTTCTTTGTTTTGAGCAACTCCTTACGTTTGTTTATTGAAATGAAAACAAACGGTGCTACAACAAATATAAATGCAATTATAATTTTATTATTGTGACAGTTAGATACAATTAATACAAAAACCAACTGTACGTAATAAAAACAAAAATAATTTTCAAATTGTACCAAAAATTTAGACTTGTGAATGTTGAACTTTGATTTTTAACTTAACTATAATGAAAAAACAATTCACATATGGATGAAAAATTATTATTATACAATAAAGTAGTATAGTTACCTAGTGTGCGGATGCGGCCCCGATGCAAATGCAAGTAACTCTGCGCAGGAGTTGACGATTACCAATTTAGGCAATTGTACGCAATGCGTGCGCTCTTAAGGGGGGGTTTATTCCAATATTAGTTTAAGTGGTAATATTTAAATAGTCAAGATCTTTAGCTTAGTAAGATAACTGTTTCAATATTGAGATAATCACTTATATACTACGCTGTTATGCTGTGGTTCTGTTTGTATTAGTTGGTTCAAGTCCCTCATGTATTGCTCATCTCAATCTAAAACAATTTTTCAATTTATACACACATAAACAATACGCTTATGATGACATGAAATGTAATATTTGCAATTTATGAACTAACAGCTGGACGTTTCGGATGATTCGGTGGAGTGTTTCTAATGTCAAATTAGATACTGCTACGCTAGCGCCATCTGTTCCGCGTAGTTGGTATTTGGTAAATACGTTCACGAAAATCCACTACATTTCACATGAGGGAAAAAGTGATTTCAGTTTTTTTTTTCAATTAAAATTCATCGAATATAAATGACTTTTATAATGTGTATCGAATATCCATATTTTAAAACATCATATAAACGGTTCCTTTGACGCAAGTCGTTTGAGTTCATAAAAATCTAACAAATTCACAAACAGCACAAAACAAAGCTACGTTAACTGCCCTGTCACAAACACTCGTATTATGTTGATAAATTATACCAATTTAAAGTGACCCATCCTTTCTCATTGTGCGATAAAACAATGTGTGAAAACTGTGCGTTTGCGAGAAAGTACAAAGGTCAGGAAATATTGGTGACAAAAAGCGCCGCCTTAAATGCGCATATTAGGTCTGGATGGTGCTTTGTGGGTCTAAATTGTACTAACAGGGTTTGCACACGATAATAGGCATAAATTGTGTTGCCATGTACCTATTTCGTGAACTATAAACCCTTTTCAACGGTACACGTGTAACATGTTATCGCAATATTGAATACTAGCTTTCAATGATAAATGTTTAAATAAAACACTTCAACGGTTAGTAAAAAAATATTCTAATTACGGGTCGATATTTTGGATACTTTGCAGCAGCTGTGGTCATGGGGAGACTAAAGATGGCGAGTGTCTCTGACGTCAAAGTAAAAAACTGCTACGCTAGCGCCACCTGTTGTCGAAATTGATACTTGGCGAAACTGGCTGGGTCCATGCAGAATTTATGATTAATGTTTTAGATAAATATTTTCCTATCCGTACTGGCTCCGTCCGTCCGTCTTATCTATCAGCGCATTTGGTTTAAAAGTTATATGGCTAGGATATTTTACCTTCCACTAAACTCCATGCATCTTTATCCATCTCTATGATAAAAAAATAATGAGTTTTTATTCTGTATAAGTTTCTAGTAAACGTATGCTTGTTAATATTATTCTACGTCGCGTATTAGAGCTAATACCACAAGGGTTTTATGATATAGGTAACATTAATCCGAGGATTGCGTTTGCAAAAAGAAAACAAGCTTAGGAAATAGGCTTATATGTAAATAGATACGAGACTTATACAACAGCTTCACATAAATTATAAACAAATCCGTAAAAGGCTAATATCAATATAATTTAAAATAAAAAGAAGAAATATAATAAAAAACGTTTTTCGTTATTTATGATATTTTAAGTAGTGAAACTAATTTCGCGATGTTATTTTGAAGTGTGGTGTTGGAGTTGCATTGGTATCGTTTCGACCAATTAATGTCCTAGCTAGCCACTGCCTCTCGCCAGTCTTGTAAGACTCCCTCAGTAATACCACCACTAACTTTGTTGTTGTTGACTTGGGCCAGTATAAAGTAGTGGTTAGCTATAACAATGATTTTATAATCTTTAATACAATTCTTAACTAAGTCAAGGCCCTTTAGAAAAAGTATAACACTGTCATGTCGATCTAGAAGACAATTCCCATTTGGTAAGAGGAACATGAAATAGGTCATATGTCAAGATGCAAATCGAAGACAGTCGGAGCATTGTCCGTCCGTCACCCTACGTTATCAATAGTCCAGCAATTTGCTGTTATTCCCACCGTGGATCTAGTATGGCACAATTATAAGATTATTGCGGGTACGACATACATTTATATTATTGTTTTATTTAATGATAGAGAAGGACAGAAGAGTATTGGGTTCCCTTGGTGGCAGGTGAAAACCCTAGCCATATATCATATCAACAAGTTGCGTTGTCGACCTATTTTGGCTTTGGATATTCGTTGTTAGATAAAGTATATATAGCTGTCAAACCAATAGCTATTTGTAGAACTCTAGTTAGACTAGCTAACTAAAGTAGAACATTTAGGAACATCATATCATTGTCTTTCGGGCTGTTCGACCAACGTGAGCGAGAAGAAGCTCTTGACGTTTATGAATAATTTGAAAGGCGAAACGTCAAGAACTTCTTCTCGCTTACGTCGGCCGAACAGTCCGAAAGGCAATGATATGCTGAACTATGGCCGTGAAAGCCTTACACAAAACATTAATATTTTTCACATGTTATTGCACATGAAGGCACTATATAAATTTAAAAAAATCGATAATAAATTGAAAAAAATTTTCGACTCGGGTATGTCTTTAAGCTGACGATGCCGGTTCAAGTCCTACCCGAGTCGAATTTTTTTTCAATTTATTATCGATTTTTAAATTAGCCTTACACAATTTAATTTAGGCACATTTTTGACAAAAAATATAACTAGGTATGCTTTACGGTTAATGGTGTATCATTTGGGTAAGTAACAACTAACTCAATTGAATTTATTTAGTTTAATAATTTTAACTATCCTTTTATTTAATATTTCTTAAGCCCTACGTGACCACTCGAAGCCGGTAACTTGTACCACACAACATCTTCGTCCGGCCGTCACTCAGTGGAAATATCCCATTATGTCGCAACCACACGCACTGCAGTGGCAATTCTTTTACAAGTACCACATAATATGACCGGGACAGCCTTTTGAGATCGCTTTTGTACAAATCCCGCTGTTTCCTTGGCTCCAGTTGAATTAATGCCTTTGCGGCCCTTTTGTCAGCGTTTTATGCTCAAATGATTTTAACTTAGTGGTCATTTTATTGCACTGTAGTTAAATTGTTTTTAAAAACTTAATTTGTTTGTACGTTGACATAGTCATTCGTATAAATTTTAAAGAGCTAATAGAATTTGAACATAGCAAAATCAGTGTAAAGGAAACATGCCTATTGTAAATAAAACCGTCTCCTCGTGACCACGGTTGCAGCAAAGCATCCGAAACGTTGACGCACGTAGTTCACAAGTTTAACTAATATATTCCCCGTCTTAAACCTTAAAGTGTTTTATTTAAATGTGTACTACTAGCGTAAAAAATTACGGCACGGGCAGAATGTGTCTTACGCTTTGCGGCTTAAGACAATCATTGAAAATGAAATTATAAAGTTAAGCTTTTGTAATTTTAAAGTTTTAAAAATTGTGTATCCTTTAATTAAACACTGTAACGGTTTAAAACGCGATATATAATAGTTCAATTTAATTTTAACTACGACCCTGCGTTTGGGAGGCTTTGCAGCAGCCCTGGTCACGGAGAGACATGGGGGTTTATTCAAATGTGTACTATTCGCATAAACTACAGACTGTATTTTCAATTGCAAATTAAGATTCACTGTCTTATGATGGCTTTGATGCAACTTAAGAAAACCATTGAAGATTAAGTTTAACGTTTGAAAAGTTTAATATTAAGGATTTTAAAATTTTGTATGTTTGTCCGCAGAATGTGGCTAATGGTCACTGCAACGTTTTTGTGCCTCGTATCAAATACGGCGTCTGAGTGGCGTTGTCCGGAACTGAGTGCGCGACCATCAGCTGAGTGTTCCTGCGATCTACCCCACACACTGCGCTGCGCGGGAGATCATACAGCGTTACAGGTAAAATATTATACAGCCCTAAAATACCAAAAACACAAACACAGTTTGAAATTATTGGTTCAAACAAATTGACTGTCAGGTAAACTAAATATTCACTTAAGGTAATCTAACCGCGTCTGTACCCATACAGTTAAATGTTACCTAGCATTGTGTTAAGCGCGAGAGGTACTGTGTTGGAATACTTGAAAAACAGAAGTCTGATTCAGTACTTGGCTATAAAAGAAACGAAATATCCAGACCCAAAATAGATCAACAGCGCACCTTAATTAGATATCATCAAATGATCCTCGTGCTTGTCTTTCGTCATAAAAACAAGAATCGATTAGTGAAATGAGCACAGACATGTGTTCGTCCCATGCCCCGGTGGGAACAGGATTTCTACGCTACGCTATTCTATCATTATTATATTTTATCATTCATAAAGAAGACGTCTATTTTTATTTGGTGAAATACGAAATCACTTAGACTTTTGTCGTCTGTCACGTAATACACACACGAGTTCACAACATTATTACTTTTTCTTTCATAAACGATATCTCATAACCCATCAGTGGTGTTTACGAACGTCGGAAATAAAAACGGAGCTATGCCTATAGTCTAAGAGCTAATCGATTTGATTTTTGTTATATCAAAATAATTAACTCCGTAACTGAATAGTTAAGCACAACACACTTTAGTTTTGGTTTCAAACCGAAGAAGCTGTTACAGTCGGACAGGACAGTAAAAATGAACAATTGCCGGCAAAAAGACCAGATAAAGTACTTACTAATAAGAAAAAAGTGTTGGTATTCAACTTGAACCGGCACCGAATCAAAGTCCTGCCCGAGTCGAAAATTTTTTCAATAGATTCAGTAGCTCAATTAGTAGAGCAATAGCACAGAACGCTGACGATGTCGGTTCAAGTCCTGCCCGAGTCGAAACATTTTTCGATTTTTAAATTATATAGTGCCTTCATGTACATGTAAAAAATTATAAATTTTTCAAATACTAAGGAACTGCTGAAAAGAATAAGAAACATCGGGCTACATTTAAAATTAATTGAAAATAAATGATAACTTCAATAAATTTAACAATTTTAAACCGTTAAAAGTGTTTCATTTTATGAATTGTTTTAACAATGTTAGTGGTGTCTTTTAGCAAGTTACGCTTGTTATATTGTTTGTAGTTTTAAATGTCGACAGCCTATAAATGTCTGTTTTTATTATCAATATAACTTGCATCAACTCTTAGTCTATACTGAGAATATAGTAAAACAAACACACATACTTTCTATTACTGACCGCAAATATTTCACTTATATTTATCCTTTGGACAGATGGACACCGGGTTATTACAGTTTCATTGAGATTTTTCTGCAAAAAATGTCTTTTATGGAGTTCCTTAGAAGGTTACGAGCGAGTAGTACACATTTAAATAAAACACTTTTAGAAGTATACAATGCGAAATATATTAGTTAAATTATTTTTTAATATGGCCCCTGTGACCATGGATCGACTGTGACATGGCTACTGCAAGGCACCTGAGAGATTTGTGTCGGGTCGATGTTAATAAATGAATTAAAGATAAAATAATATATTTATCGTTTTAAACTGTTAAAAATGACTTAAATAGATTAACAATATTTGACGATCACGAAACACTTTACGTTTGAGTCCTAACTGTTTTATTTAAAAATAAGTTAGCAAATATGTTTAGCGTTTGCAGAGCTAAATGTGTTTTAGTTTTAAGCTAATCATAACTTTTTAATCTATTTTCTCTGTAAAAAAGGAACAAAACTGTCTGTAATATAATTCCAACATTTCCAGTTGGTGTATCATTACTTTGTTGTTCCATAATTTAAAGAACTAAGTTTATTAAAGCTAGCTCTCGCTAAGAATAAAAATAAAGTAACATCTTACAAACTACAGTAATTTTTTTGAAACTACAAAATGGAAATATCTTTTTAATTTTGTGAACTTAATGAGGAATCTTTCAATACTGGGGCAGAGAGTAAAGGAAAAATATAGATCGATCACAACAATAGCTGGAAAATTGAATTCGCAAAGACCAAAAGATCTATTAAGAGATGGGGGAATTCGTTTGTTCAGTTCTTCAATAATTTTTATTTGAGCTTACCGGGGCGGCGCGGGGTTTCTGGAAACTCCTTTTGTTTTTGGAACACGTTATGAAGGATAAAATGTCAATAAAAATTTACTGTTTTATCTTGTAATGATAGTTAACATACAATTTTTTAGGTGAAGTGTGAGTAGTCTTTAATAAAAGTCATATTGAGATTTCTTCGACTCAGTCATGTAAGATTTTTTTATTGTATATGATACTGTATTCAAATTTTTTGTAAACTGTATCTGATACAATATGCTAGTAGGATTATACAAATCTCAGTCGAACCACAATATTCTTTTTTCTCTGAAACTCTAACTCATTATCGTAGACATTACATTTGACCAAAAAAAGAAATAGTAAGTCTAAATTGATTCAGGAAAAAAAGTAATTGTTGCCAAGGCAGTTACACTGTATCTTTTACGGTATCGGGCTTCTATATACGGTTTCAGTTAAGAAAAACTGTTTGGAAGAAATAGGTTTTTATTTTTTAATTGATTGTTCGTATTATTTTAAACTAAGACCCGACTTTTCGGTCGTGCCCTCGTGACCAAGAACTCGATAAAAACTAAATAGCTTTTGTAGAATAAATGGTTAGATTTTATTACTTATATACAATCATTATTGTAGACATCGACATCATAGAAAAAATGTAAAAGGCCGTTTCACCGCGTGGGGCATGGGACGAACATATGTCCGTTTGACTCATCATTGACAAACGTGTGGAATTTGTGTGACTGAAAAAAACGGATGATTCGGATCTACTCGCGTTCTGCTATAGAGCGGTTAGAATAAATTAGTTAGAGCTGAACGCTGAGGACGCCGGTTCAAGTCCTGCCCGAGTCGTAAATTTATTTTCGATTTTCACAATATAGAATCACTTAACTGTTTTTATTAAAGGGCAAGACCAATAAATATCGATGAAACGCCACCCTAATTAGCCGCTTTGAGTTCGTCAAATAAGTATTGGCGAAATTTGTTTCAGTTCAAATAGATTGAATGATTGGTATCGAATTCGTTGAATTAATTCATTTAGCGTTGGGGCAATTTGTGAGAGCAATCTAGTTTGTAGCTGAGTATATATCGAATTTAATTAGACTTCTTATCAAAGGCTTTATAAGTTTAATGCAATGTCTAAATTTAAGCTTTCGTTCTCGAATTGAATTATAGTTTAGTTATTATATGAGAGCGCTAGAGGCAGAGTAGCCTAACTGCATTTTTATGACTTAAGTTATTTATATTTTCATAGTCTAAAAATATTAATCTACAAGAGCACAGTGGCTGAAAGTTGTTAACAATTTATTTAACAAATAATTATAAAGTTAATTGCGCATTTTTATTTTTCTCCTGATGAAAGTCATGTTTTGTCATAAGGCCACTCTGCTTCTAGTAGTCTCATAGAGGATCTAGAATCTATACCTAGATTTTATTAAAAATTCAAACTTACGACCATAGCCTATGTGCTTGCGGTACTTGCTATTTATTTTATTTTTCGTTACAGTTTCTCAATGCATTATTAATATATTAAAGCTTTCATATGCAATAACATTCAAAGCTTTTATTTTTATTGAAGCTTCAGCAAATTTTAATACTAATAGTATGAAAAATGTATAAAACTATATAAAAATAACAACTATTAATTTCTTAAATACTGTCTATAGTTTACGCGAGTAGTACACATTTAAATAAAACACTTTAACGGTTTAAAACGCGATATATTAGTTAAACTTATTTGAAACTGATTTTTAACTTCGGCCCGACGTTTCGGATACTTTGCAGCAGCCGTGGTCACGGGGAGACTAAAGATGGAGGATGTCTCTGACGTCAAAGTAAAAATTGCTACGCTAGCGCCATCTGTTTCGTCTAAGTTGGTATTTGGCGAAACAAATACTAATATATATACTTACTTATAAATTTCAAATAAGTTTAACTAATATATCGCGTTTTAAACCGTTAAAGTGTTTTATTTAAATATTAATTTCTTTATGTTTGATAATAGATTAATAATATATTTTTAGTAAATTCTCACTAAAACTATTTTTTTTTAGATCATTGGCCGTCACCTCCGCGAGAAAAGAGTGAGAAACAAGAATACCGCTGTCTCCCTCTTGGATTGTGCTCTACGAGGTGTGACGTCTCTTCCAGCGGCTTCCGTGACGGAATTAGCAGGCGTTGGTCTTCACGGATTGGTGATCTCCTCGGGCGATATAAAGAGGGTGCAGCAGGGTGCATTTACTAGTGTAGCGAATACTTTATTGGCTTTAGGTAAATCTTATGTTTTATTAATAATGACGTCAATATTACATACGATACAAACAGGAACTTTATATGATTTGTTTGACGTGGTAAGCAGCTGTTATATGCATAAAAATATATAATAATGTAAAATTTGCCGAATCGCCTAGCGCTGCATTAAAGGTGACAAGTCCTGGCTTCGATTCCAGGGAAAAAACAATAGAATTTTTTCGTTCGGGCAGAGTACAGATTCAGATTAGGGTCAATAAAACGCCACATAAATGTGTCCTCCCAAGCCCCAGTTTGCTCAAAGGTGCAAACCGGATTTCACTTTTTTTATATACACTAAACTTAACTGAAGGGATACGGTATTTTTAACTGCTTGCAGTTAAAAATACCTTGCTGGTTTCTTCGGTATGGCCATATTGACGTTAACATATTGTTTTATTTTACTCATTACTATATATTTAAATATACATCATATAATGTGCATAGTAGATATAATTATTTTTAAATGTTAATTACTAGAAATTTAGTCTAAAATTGATATTTCTTTATGCACTTATTGTCTTGCAGGTCTCCCAAACAATCAACTACCGTCAGTACCTATCGAGGCTTTATATAACTTATGGTATCTAGACCGTTTGGATCTCTCAAACAATAAAATTCACGCGTTGGACGGCAATTCATTTAAGGTAACTACGTATTAAATATATATTAATAATGCCCATCTAATTATTTTGACCTTAACATATATTACACTCATAATTACGACCTTTGTAACATAGTATTTAATATCCTTGAAGACTAAAATAAAATTACAGGCGGACATCTACATAAAAGTATAAAAGATCAAATTCAATATTTAAGAAGTATTTTATGACATCAAAATATAAGTCATACATAGCAATGTAAAATAAAAAAGATTATAATTAGTATAAAGTATAAAAATCTACTCCTTATCTGATAGTAAAACATTTCACAAAATATTCAGAATGTGTCTACACCATGCCATACCCTTAGTTAAAAATTGAATTTTTCATTCAATCAAATCTAGGCGGGTGCGTTGATCTAATGGTAGCAATATATGTCTAATAAACGGGTCGTGATTTCGATTCCTACCGGGTCCAAAATATTTTTAATTAAGTGACATACAATTTTCCGGAAGCATGGTAGGCTTCGTCTAACAATCTGGATATTAAATTGGTAGTAGAAGTATCGGAATTCCGTCCAGGTCACGAACCAAAGTCAATAGATGAAAAAGCTGTGAAGTTTAATAGCGTTTCGCGTCTTTAGATTTTCGAATATTATATGGCTGGGGATTCTCCGTTCGTCAAATGAACCATGTTTGAATGTTCAAAGTCAAAATAGATCGTACATCACATATTGTGTAGATGTGTAAACGGCTCGGGTAAATACCCGATAGCAAAATCATTAAAAAAATCCCTTCCTATCATAGAAGATTAGGTGAAGCCTCCAGAACCATACTTTTAATATATATTTCGATGTTCCAGGGCCTTCAAAATCTAACTTATCTTGATATAAGTGACAATCAGCTGACGAGCATATCGCCGGAGGCTTTCAGGCCCCTCGTCAAATTATCAGTTTTGAGGTTAAGAGGGAACCTGCTCAAGGTAGCCGCGTTATCTTCGCTGAAGGTAAGGATTGATAACGAATGCGAAATTATAATTATGCTCTCGACAGGGACTAAAAGTATATTTAGCAAAATCAACCGAAGTCGTTTTCTACGCTTCTATTAGTCACAGTGTCCACGATGTTATATAAAGATTCTTCCTTCCTCGATAAATGGTCCAACCAATGCAAAAACAGTTTTCCTATTCGAACCAGTAGTTTGAGATAAGCGCTTTCAAACAAACAAACATACTTTACAGCTTTATATCAGTATAGATTATGTATAATTATATAAATTAAAAATTGAATAGCCAATCCACAGCGTTCCGTGTTGTTGCTAATTGAATCACCGAGTCTTAAACAACATCGTCGATTTTTTTCAACTTATTGATACACGCACCTTTCAAGCAATATTAATATATAGCAGACAATTTTATTAAGTTTATATTAATACTTTTTAGCCTCTATACAAAGATCTGAATACTTACTATGTCTGTATTTAAAACCTTTGTTTTAATGAGAATAAATATACATTGAATACGTAAGTGTGGGAACGCTTCTAAAATGCACAGCTCTGAAAGTGTCGCGTATTTTTTCAATCGTAGTTCTGTATTCCTTCGAAACGGTTGAAAGGTCTCCAATGATATGTTACTTTTAATGTGGTTTTACTTCCATTTTAAAGCTTTTCACGAAGAAGGCGATAAGATTATTAATTATTACTTAAATAGTTTCAACTATGAGGCTGCAAAAGGTAGAGTAGCCTAACTGCAATTTTATGACTTGACATATTTATATTATTATAGTCTAAAAATAACAAGTCTCCAAGAGCACAGTGATTGAAGTTTTTTAAAATAATTCTTATACTAATAATAGTACAAATTCATTTTCACCTAAGTTAATTGCCTCCTCCTTATTGAATAATGTTTTTGTTGTTATTAGGCCACTCTATCTCTAGCAGCCTCATATAGCCTAAGATAAAATTTTTTATTAAATTTAAACGTCATATTTACAAATAAACATAACTATTTTTTATAATATTTTGTTATCGGTTACCTTTACTCAAACCTCTACAGGGAGCAAGGTCGTTGAAAGAGCTGGATGTTTCAAGCAACGCCTTAGAAGGACCCCTGGGACCAACAACTCTACCGACCTTATGGGTCCTGAAGACCCTACACCTGTCCGACAATACGTTCGCGAGTATACGACGTGGCGCATTGTCAGGTATTCAGGAAAACTGTTATTTAGGAGGGAGGAGGGTAGACAAGAAGTTCACTTGATGGTAGGTGAAATACCATACCAGTTATATGCGCTGAAGCAATACGCTATCGACTTATATTGATTGTAGATATTCTAAAACCCACAGACTAATCTTAACGGCTTTTTTCATCCGTGGATCATTCCTACCTGCCATGCCATCCGGATTTCAAGACGATGTCCAACACGTTTAAGCAAAATTGTAAATTTATTAGAAATATGTTTGAACCGGTGGAGATCGAATTCATGACCCCTTCGCCACCTTTACACCAACGAGTACGTCGAAAGAACGACCTATAATACTTCTTAAGTAATTTTTTTAAGTAAACAACTATATAAAGTTCGTAAACAATCATAGGCACTTCAAACGTATCTTAAATTTGTTTAGGCTCTTGATGAGGAAAATTCGCTTCCTTTCTATACTAAAGTGTGTGTGTGTGCACGTAATTAAGGTGTATGTAACGAGCAAATGAAGTAAAAATATTAAATAGAAATTTAAGAAAAAATCCTGATCATTAGTTACTTCCAGGTCTTGCGAACTTGACTCACCTAAATTTGCACAACAATCAAATAGATGTTCTGGAAGATTATGCGTTTCGACATCTCGTTAACTTGTCACATCTGGATCTATCACACAATGAGATAGTTTCTGTTTCAGGTAAGATTCTACTCCTCTCATATAGAAGTGGCTCACCATAAAATTACGATTCTCTCTCTTATACATAGAAGTATTTTGCTGGATGTATTTATCACGACTAAGGGATATTTGTGCGATATACTCAAAACATATTACCGTACATAAAATTTTAACCTAAACTTTTTAGCAACATTATCATACGTAATTTTAAGTTATTGGCAAAGCACCTTTTCTTAGTCTTAAAAAAAAATATTTAAATAAAAAACATAACGGTTGAACCGCGATATATTAGTTAAACTATTTGACAATGATTTTTAACTTCTCGGCCCGACGTTACGGATGTTTGCAACAGCCGTTGTCACCACAAACGGGGGCCCGGGGAAACGTCGGGCCGAAGTTAAAAATCATTGTCCAAATAAGTTTAACTAATATATCACGATTTCAACCATAAAAGTGTTTTATTTAAATCCTGTACTCCGCGTAAACTATAGGCAGCATTTAATAATATATATTATAGAATATTGGAACAGATAAATGCTATAAAAAGGACAAACTAATATAAATATCGTACTTTTCCAATATATGACAAATGTTCGACATCTAAATGTTTTCAATTTTAATACTAAATAACTTATTTGGAAATGCGTTAAGCATTGTCTGTACTTGACGCGTAATGTATATATTTATATATGTTATATATAATATCTAAACAAGATGCGCTATTGACTTATTTTGGTTTTGAATATTCGGAAATCCAGGCAGACTCTGAAACGCGATTTAGCTTCTCTCTTCACGGTATTTTCGTCGGTACTGTGGCTCGTGACCCGACGGAATTTCGATATTCCTCCTACTCGTTTAATAGCGAGATTTCCAGACGAAGTCCAGCAAGATTCAGAATAATTATGAAGTTATTAAAATCACGTTAAACTCGTAGATCGGACCCACGACCCATTAATTATTAGCCTTACATTGCTACTACCATTATAACAACGAGCCCCTTTCGGTTTCTTATCAATTTGTAATCAGTAACAATACATTCGTAGCCATTGAATAGTAATAAAATGGTGAAGCTTGAATTTTTCTTTTATAGGAGAATATTTCGCATAAAACCTAAATCAGATCAGGTCCAGATCATCTTTATTGCAAAGGCCCTCTGGAAGCCTGCGACGCGGACGGTTCAATTTCCGCAAAAAACGTAAAAGGATTGGAAAATATTGTCCGCATCGTCGTAACTTCTCTTTTCTTTTCTATTGAATTAGCGCTAACATCATTATATTGTTATGCATTGGTGGAACTTTCTTATATAATACAAGGTTTCAAGATTTCTTATGTCTTTTGTATCACGTCAGTTAAAACACTTTTAAAGTTTAAGCGTATTTAGTTAACTTAATTTTAATTTTGGCCGCGGGGCGCCTGAAATTAGGGTTACTTCCCTTATGTCAAAGTCAAAACTGCTACACTAGCGCCATCTCTTACGTAGCAGTTGGTATTTTGAAAAACTTGTTGGATCCATACAGAAGTGACTCACTTATGCTTTAAGTTAATTTAAAAATAAGCTAACCAACAGATTTAGCGTTTTAACGAATGTGTTTATAAATATACAATACTTACTTATTAAAAAGCAGTTGAACACCCATTTTGTTTATTATAAATGTAATATTTATCGTAATTACCTAATAATACTTATCATCTGTGTCAGATTAATGACACCAAGAATATTGCATAGTCTGTGATTATATCTGTGAATATTTATAAACTTAAATTTCATATAATCTGTTACCTTATAAAACCTAATTTAAATCTTACTTTCAGGAGCGTCACTAGCGCAGTTGTCTAACTTAGAACATTTGGACTTATCTCACAATTTCCTCCGTTCGCTATCAGCGGAGCCGTTAAAATCACTGTACCAACTCTCCGAATTACTTCTACACGATAACGACATATCTATAATTGAGGACGGTGCGCTGGGAATGCATACGAATCTCAGTCGGTTCACTATCGAAGGTAAATATGTCGACTCTTGAAATAACTGGGGTTGCCCCCGAAAAAAATTTTTTTTGGGGAAAAAAATTAAAAAACTCCCCCTTTTGTCCCTTAACCGTCATACTGTTGCATTTTAAGATAAAAGACACCAAGAGAAAATAATTATTTCATTCATTTTTCACCGTTGGTGGAAGCCATCAAAGATAAATAATTAATATAGAGAGAAAAATATAAGAAACATAGAGAGGGATAAATTATTTTCTCAAATTTTTCTTATTTCCACTGTTTTTTCAAAATAACGAATAAAAGCGATAGTCTAAAGCCAGTAGTTTCTGAGATAGCCGCGTTCAAACAAAAAAATTCTTTAGCTTTAGTATATTAATTAGTATATATAAAGATACTATCGTAAAATCTTTTGACAGAGAGACGATGTGTTAGTATTTTATTAATACTTACAGTTTTCTGAGCATTCGGGTAAGACCTTTCAAACCCTTAAATCCATCGATCAAGTAAACCCACGATATTAATAATGACATATTATTTATCGATGATGATAGCACGTTACACAATGATTTGGGCTCCCATTGTAATGACGAAACAGTGACAAGCATCTTATATAGTGAATACACACGGACGCGACGGACAACTAACATTAGTTGAAGTTTGGGACAATATAGATCAAAAAACCAAATAAAATACAATTTGCTACTCATAACGCCTTATTGTAACAAAACCATAGGAATAAAATACTTGTTAAAAATTCATTTGTTGCATAATATTATATTATTCTACCAAAGTAAAGAATTTAATTACGATATTTTGCATCATAATGAAACACCAATTACAGTACGTGACGTCATTCGTGGGCAATCATTGAAGGCCTATATTTTCTCGGGAAACTCATATGACCGTCGTGGCGTGACACGCCACGACGCTATTTTGGCGCCAATTTTATAAATAAATAATATAAAAACACAGTTTAAAATAAGTCACAGGCACATAAATAAATAGATAAAATCTTATTTTCTTCAAAATATATATAAATAAATATTATTTAAAACGCTTTCTGAAAATTTCCATCATTCGCATTTTTTGTCATGGCAACGAGCTTATGTAACTTTATGCTTTTATTTTGTATTTTTAGTCTAGATAACAGTATTAAAAATAAATTATAATTAAAACGTAGAACGCAATACGTTGTCTCAGTCCACTGTCTGTCGCAGGTCTGAGTACCTTCTTTGTAATTTTTGAATATAAATTAAGAATATAGGATTGCTGTTCGTTGATTCCGTATATGCGACACTGGTCATTGTGTGTATGTATGTCAAACCCTTTGTTGTGCTGTCGGCATATCACCCCGTATTGTGGCATGGCGCCCATGACTCATTGTTATCTGGCCTTCATAAGTTATGGGATTACTAGCTTTCACCTACATTTTCTACATTTTATATGAAGAATCTACTTTGCTATGGAATAATAGAGAATAGAGGCGTCTTAGTGTTTTAATTGTAGAGTGCTCTTGTTAAAAGAGATTCTCTTGTTATATTTACATCATGTAAGTCTTCGTTTCTTTAATCTTTTTTTTTAGAATTTACACAGCGTAGATATAAAATAAAAAAAATCCTGTATCAATCTTCTAAAGCTATTTAAATTTATAAACATCAATTGTTTTCAATAGCTAACCTTTTTAATCTATAAAACTGGGCTTATTTATGTCGATTTACACATTTTTTTTGTTTCTAATATTTAATATATACAACAGTTAAAAATAACATGAAGTTTGACAAAAACTCACAATTAATAGCGTCTTGAACGAATATAACGAATTGACCTTTTTGTAAAAGCCCGAGTTTGTTTAAATCTAAATAAATCGAGTTTTATAAATTGAAAACAATCCGAAACAAAGAACAAACATTTAATTCGAACGGAAAAATATAATTATATTCAGTCACTGAGTTGATTATCGGCGGAGAGCACTCGATTTTAAAAAGAGAACAATTCGCGGATTTCAAGTTAACTTCCATTCATGATTATTGAGGCCTTCGTTAAGGCTGCGGTCTTTTAAAAACGCTGTAAGCTAGCGTTTATTACGCATTGCTAGTAGTTGATATTAATGATATAGTAGTATAAAACAAAGTCGCTTTTTCTGTCCCCATGTACGTTTAAATCTTTAGAACTATGCAACAGATTTTGATGTGGTCTTTTTAAATAGATATAGTGATTCAAGAGGAAGTTTTTTCAGCATTGCACCCGAGCGAAGCGGGGGTGGGTTGCAATTAGACAATAAATGTTATCACATGATGGACGTATGTATTGTCTGTACTTTACGCTAATTGTACAAATTTAAACGAAACACTATTAACAAGGCAAGTATCGCCAAATACCAACTACAAACATTTGGCGATAGGGTAGCAGTTTTAACGTTAACTTTAAAACACCCTTCCTTTTAGTCCCCGCGTGACCACGGCTGCTATAAAGCATTCGAAACGTCTTACGACAGTTAAAATAAACTGTAAAGCGCGTTTAAAGCCGTTAAAAATGTTTCGTTTAAACAGCGTAGTGGTCAAGGCAACAAAAGTACATTTATCCAATTGTGAGCGGTATAACGTCATGCTATGATCTATATTTATAGCGTTTATAGGAGGCCTGAGCTTAACGCCGATGAAATCACATCGCTGAAACAAAAAGCAAAAAGTTCGAAACAATCGTTTGATGATCGTTAATTTTAATTCCAACCCATTTATACTCTCGAACTCATAAAGATAAATTCGTTCTCTTTTACAGATAATCCTCTTAATTGCGACTGCTTAATGGCCGGCTTTGCGCGCTGGTTGAGGGAAGCAAAAAATGTCTCGCAGAGCGATAAGTCCGCTGTGGTCTGCGCGACCCCACCCCATTTGGAGGGGGCGTTATTAGCTAGGCTATCGAAGAATAAGCTCTGCGATGACTTCGAGCACATCGAAGTCAAGGATGATAAGATAAACGATTATGGCAAGGTGATGGACAATGCGATAGATGACGTGTACGGTGATAAGGTTGATGGATTGGACGATACGATTTATGATGAAGAGATAGACGTTCCAGGTGAAGAGGATTTGCCTATATCAAAGGCGAAGGTAATTATTATTTTAAGAGCACTGGAGATTGTCTGATTTGTATGAATAAAATAAATGCACTTTTAAGTGTTTAAGTAACTGATAAAATGCCAAGGACTCGAATTTACGACCATTGGTTATCTGCTACGCTCTAGTTAACTCAGTAAGTTATAATTTTTCACAAATTTGTCCACTCATATGGGTCACGCTCGTTACACACACCGTTAAGAAAATTACCATATTTTTTTATATTGATACATTTTGCAGGGCTTATTATTGTAATGGTAGCAAAGTAGGGTCACTAATAATCCACAGGTAGTGGGTTCGATGCTCATAGAGTTCAAAATTTTTCTAATCATGTCTATAGTTTACGCGAGTAGTACACATTTAAATAAAACAATTTAACGGTTTAAAACGCGATATATTAGTTACGGGGAAACACCCCCTTACCCCGTGTCCACGGCTGCTGCAAAGCATCCGAAACGTCGGGCCGAATTTAGAAATAATTTCCAAATTACTAATATATCGCGTTTTAAACCGTTAAAGTGTTTTATTTAAATTTTCTAATCATTTTCTATTCTGAAACATATTGGACTTCGTCAAAAAACCTGGATATTAAATGGATGGAAGGAATATCGAAATTCCTTCCAAATCACGAACCACCTTATACACATGTAAAAGCCGACAAGTTTATCGCGTTTCGGTTTCAGGCATTGGTTTTAAGAATTTCGAAAGCTAAAATAGGTCGACAGCGCATCTATCGACGTTATGTGACTGGGTTTTTTTAGCTACCATCAGGTGAATCCCATGCTTGTCGATCCTCCTCTCTCATAAAGAAACATTATTGTACGCTTCTTGCGAAAATTAGTCTACCGGGCTTAATTTAAAAGGTATTTGTTAATTAATGAAGTACGAAAATGAGTTTCCAATTAAACATTTTCCAAGGACTCGATATTCAAAAGGAAATCTTGAAAATGTTTCTGGGAAGAAAAATCGAGTATCATACTGGTTATTAACACATTTTCATTAATTAATGTTCTTCCGAGACTTAATAATATTAGTACTCAATAAATGCAGTAGGATACAGGGCTTCTTTTAAAGCGGGTTGTAAAATTCTACTAAAATGCGATTGAGTTTAATAAGTGGTTTTATAGCATTCGTTGAATTTCTTAATTACTTTACGGTTATTTCTATTAGCTTATATTCGGAAATGCATATCTATACTAATATATAAAGCTGAAGAGTTTGTTTGATGGAGTTCTAATTGAAAAGTTATTTTTGTGATGGTTAAAGTATTTATCGAGAAATAAATTTTAAATTTAATATAAACGGTATGATACCACAAAAAATATGTTATATATATACAATAATATAGTATATATATTACAAATAAATACTATATAGTAAAATATTTTAAGTAAGTACATGACATATTTAAACTAAAGGTTTAAACCCTCTACACTTCTATTTCTAGACAGGGAAATATATTGGTATCTGTTGCTAAAAGTTACGTCATAATTGGCTCAGTCATTTTAGAAATAACCCAGAATATATAAACAGACATTCAAATTATGTTGAATTTTTAATTTAAACAAACACTCTGACTTTAATTTATTACTAAATACTGTTACTAAAAAGAACTAAGTAAACAAATACATTTTCTTTTAGGTACGCTTACTCGACTCCTGGTATGACGCGGAGGAGGTTCACCTATCCTGGACAGTGGATCCGCCGTCCATCAGGCGTTTTAGATGTACTGGGGTTACAGCATCTAGAGGTGGTGGTCTTCCAAAACATGTAGCGTGCCACCGAGCGCCGCCGTCAAATGTTATTTTGAGAGGACTGAAAATCGATCCACTTGAATTGTATACGTAAGTATTACTTACTGTGTTAGTTAATTTTTAACTGGTGCATATCCCCAACACATTTTAATAAGACTTTATTATGACAGAGGAGAGCAGACAAGCATGTCCACTTAATCGAAGCTGAAATGCCCTAGTCATATAACATTTTGCATACTTAGTTTGTTTGTTTCTTGAATCGTTTTCGCAGCGCACGCCATGAAAGCAATCAAAGAAGAGTAAATACTCCGTTTTATTTACATTTCTCTATTTCTTCGCTCCTATTCATCGCAACTTGATGTTTTAAGCCTGAAGTTTTTTTCGATAAAAGTTGTGACCAAATAAAATCAAGATGCAGTTACAACTAATTTATTATTTCTTACCTACTACATATACTATACTAAAAGCGAGTAGGCTTGACTACCTACTAACACATCAATACAACACTAACTAACACAAAAAAAAAACAAAATTATTTCGAACCAGTAGTTCCTGAGATTCGTGCGTTCAAACAAACAAACTCCTCATCTTTATATATTAATATATTATATAATCAGTAGCATAATTTAGCGACCTCACTAGACTACTCATAGCTTGAGTTTCTCATAAAAAAATAAAATAATAATATTGTGAAAAAAACAGATTCTGCATCGCCCTGGAGGAGATGGACGCCAAGGATGTACCAACTTCTTTAGTTCTTGGTTGTGGATTGCCTCAGGCAGTGCGAGAAAGGGCTACATACGTTACAAGTCGAACTACACCGTCAACAGCGCCACCAGAACCAGATATAAGGTAATTTTCGAAGATACAGCATGTATAGTATGGCCTGTTCGTTATTATTGTATATGCAATATGTGTAGCTAAATAGTTAAACGTGTTGCTTATAATTGCGTTAAGGACGAGATCCTAGATTCGAATCCCGAAGAAATTGTTCCTATATATATATGTACTTCGGTCGAGCAGAGCGCAAAAGTCTGATCAACTATTTTTCTGTTAATACAACTAATCCTCGAAACGGACACAGAAATATGTTTGCCCCATGTCCCCACGGGAACGGAATTTTACAGAAGTATCTGGTTAATAGTTTTTGATATTGACATTAGAAGATTAAGTACTGTCTGTAGTTTACGCGAGTTGTACCTACACATTTAGAATATAAATATATAATATCTCCAAACCTTCCAGGGTCTCCGAAGTCAGATCCAACGTGACCAGTGATGGGGTTCTTTCTGTTCTAATATCGGTCATGGGTCTGCCGATACGCCAGTTCACGAGATCCCAAAGACTCTCAACAGAAACACACTACCCAGTATACAATTGCTACGTGGTATTAGCAGTTCTATCTAGAGGATCCCTGGTAGCGCAGAAGGACACCCCATGCCAAGACTCATTAGGAATATCCATGGAAGGTTTTATCACCGGCCCTTACGAAGTCTGTGCGACAATATCCAGGAAAAGAGCAGATGAATCACACCCAATTTGTATAGTACCACAGATGCTGGAGCCAGTTGCGGAAATGAAGTCGAATGTTAAGGGCCTGAATACAGCGTTGATAGGAGTCGCACTGGGTTTGATGGTGATAGTGGTAGGCCTCGTCTGGTTTGTGAGGAAGATGCTTAAAAAGCCGGTAGACTTTCAAGCCCATAGGTGCTTCACTGAGCCGGTTCAAGAAGAACGAGCCAGCTATGTCATGCTGACGGCCACTTCAAAGGTTTAATTGCTAGTCGATTTGGGTTGCTATGTAATTGTGGATCTTTAACGCTTGTTACTTGTTTAATTTTTTGTAAATAATTAATGAATGAAGAAATGACATGTACTTCTTTAAATTCTACATAATAATATGTTACTTCTTTTACATCGTTTATGGTGATGTACTTATCTAGACATTATAATTTATCGTCGTGGTATTATTCATTCTTAATTTGCATCAATGTTTGAGAACTTTAATATTTTTCACATATTACATGATGGCACTATATAAATTAGAAATCTGTCTCTTATATATAGGCCATCTCGGAAATCTCTTACATATATAGTGCCATCATGTGCAGTAACATGTGAAAAATATTTAAGTTTTCAATAAAATATTTTACTAAGTACTCTTACCTACGCTTATCTTCTTCTTGATTGAGATTTTTAAAGGTTTATTTATGTCTAACATATTTAATTTGATAGTCAATTAGACATAAGTTGTATTTAATTAATCGTTCTAACGCTGTACATAATTTATAGTCTTAAATCTTTTCCGAAACAATTCTATTCTAATCGATAGAAACAATGTTGATAGGTTTGTTGAAACGTAATTAAACATCTTCGAGGTTGTAATAGTGCTTTAATTTCCGAGTAATCGTTATTCTATTAATATCTTTCTTAGGCGATAACTGGGGGGGGGGGGGGGGGGGGAGGGGGGGGTTTTTTTTTTTTTTTTTGTTTTTTTGTCTTTTGGGTTGGGGGGGGGGGGGAAAAAAAAAAAAAAAAAAAAAGGAAAGGGGGGGGGGGGGGGGGGGGAAAAAAAAAAAAAAAAAATTTAAAAAAAAAAAAAAAAAACCCGGGGGGGGGGGGGGGGGGGGGGGGGGGGCCCGGGGTTGGGGGGGGGAAGGAAAAAATTAACCCATCGATGGGGGCTTTTACCACAAATTTTTTGTTGGGAGTCATTAAAGCCCACCAACCTACATTGTAGCCGCGTGGTGAATCTGAGTTCTTAAAAACCTCCTTTGTTTTTGTTTAAGAGTTTTTTGTACAAACTTGTCCACCCGTGATCTTAGCATTATGAAGATTTCAAATTGTTAACTACAGTTTAGTATTTAATAAAATACTTTTCTCGTTTAAAACGTATGTAAACTTATTTTTCACTACGAGCAGCAGTAGCATGGATTACAAATAGATTTGTGTTTTAAACAGTTTAATGTATTCCATTGAATGTATGATACTCACGTATACAATTCCAATAGTTTCAAAATCCAAAATTTAATTAAATGGGATCAAGTTGTGAAAGATAAATACGCAGACAAGTTCAAGCGTTCTTAAACAAATATTTTTTAATAAAATTTTATAATTTATAATATTCGTAAATAACGAATTTTTCTAGACTTGCATATTATGTTAAATCAAAAGTTTAGTATTATTTGGTAGATAAGATGAACTTTACAGAGAGCTCTTGGTAATTCTCATTTATTTAACAAAATCGACGCCTTATAAAATAATATAATTACATATTATATACTCTGTAATATAAGGTACAAAACCTTAAGTATAGGTAATTCCTTATATTTAATCATTAACGTCAATATTCAAAAGCCTACAGATAATAATATATTTTCACGACTTTCCTTTCATGTGAAAATAAACATCAATCGAATGCATGCTATATTATATCGTACTGTATAAAACATAAGGACTATTATTGTATATCGAAGAGTGAAACAATGTTTGTATTATTCTTAGAATTCGTTTTATTTTGAGGGTAGCTTTTAATTCTATTTGTAGTGGTCGACGCTATTGTAAATGTTTGAAAAGAACTTTGGTTCTGCTTTAATTAGAATGTAATTTGTGTAAATATTAAATTATGAATTACATTATATTTTTTAATAAAACATTAACAGTTTTATGTGGTGTTTTAATGAAAAGCCTATATGAAACACGAAAACTTCATTTATATAATAATATAAAGATAGTTAAGGAAATATGTTATACAAAAAATAACAAATCATTCTTATATCTGATTTGTATTGATAAAAATAAAATAGACCGCTTGTCGATGTCTCGTTTACTTAGTAACGTAAAGTAAAAAAACACTTTTTCGGTACAGACACAGAAACACACAAAAATATTGTTGAATTTAATTGTATCCTATTTGGTATCTATTGAATTATGTAACACATAGTTAAAGAGTAATCTTATCACGCCCGAATCGTATGTCAGACGTGAAAAGACGCACGTTGCGCCCGCGCAGATAAACATATAATTGTCATTTACACTTCAGTTGTCACCAAACAATCATGGGAGGTGGACGCGTTTTGTGTTTAGTTTTAACGATATTCATATCGACAACACAGTGCAAAGTATTCACAAGGTGTCAACTCACCCGTGAATTATTAAAAGCAAATTTCCATCAAAAGACTTTTCTTAGCAATTGTAAGTAAATTTATTAAATAATATATAATAGGTAAACGATAGGAAATAGTCTTACTGTAGCCTATCGTTGACCTATACTTGATACTGTTGTTTAGCTGTAATTTGACAATTCATAGAAGGAATAGACACGCTTACATGGTTTCTAGATTATATATCGTGTTTAGTTTTGGTCTATGACTCGTTAGTCTAATGAGCAATGTATGGTTATTAATCAATGGGCCATAAGTTCGTCCCGCACTGCGTCCAACTTATAAGTAATTTATATTTATTTCTGAGACATGTTGCTTATCGTCTAGAAATCTAAATATTAAATTGGTGGTAGGAATATCGAAATTCCATCCGGGTCACGTACCACCACAGATAAGGAAGCCGTCAAGTTTAATAGCGTTTCGGTTTATAGGTCGACGGCGCATCTTATTCACATGTTATTTCTCTCACCTTCTAACAAGTAAACCCCATGTAGATCTGTACTCCTCATAAAGGCATTGAAAAGTGAAAATGACACAGAAGGTCGGCCTATGTCCCACGCATATACGGATTAATAGAAGCGTATAGACTAATCTATTGTTAAGTGAGACTACTCCTATTGTTTTGCTACAAATTTTGTAGTCATTTCCTATAGTGGTATGTATATGCCCGTTTGTTTTAAATGCCAAAATTTTAAGCAAAAATTATTCTTCGGTTTCTGCTAGCTACATACAACCGGTACCGTGAATCGATTTTTATTTGGAGTTGTACAGACAATCATGGATTATTGGATTAGGCATCATTAAATACTGTCTGTAGTTTACGCGAGTAGTACACATTTAAATAAAACACTTTAATAAAATAATAAAGTAAAAAAGTATTTAAAAATAATTCTCGAACAAGTTTAACTAAAACATATCGAATTTTAAACTGTTAAAGTGTTTTATTTAATTTAGTCTTCATTATAGTGATTTACCCCATCCAATATAACATCGAAACAAGGTACATTGTCGACCTATATTGGCTTTGGATATCGGTAGATATTTCTATAAAGTCACAAAAAATTAATATTACTAATCCGAAGATCTTTTAAGTGACATCAGTGGTTGACTGTAACTTGAATGTTTAGGTTCCGTACTTTATTTGGGTGAAGCCGTAAGCGTACTACGTATGTTCAGTTCAGCGACTGTTCATAAATGCAGCTAAGATTTTATTACCGAACTAATAAAAGCAAACATAGGATTTAAAACCTTAACTTCGAAAAACTAAAGATGATCACAAAGGAAGGCAAACCACACCAGTTTGCGACGGTAGTTGTAAATTTCTTCTTCGTCACTGTATTCGAACCTTATTAGATAAAATAGTTTCGTGATAATCAAAAAATTGTGATACAAAAGAGAAACGTTCGTAATTTATCATAAAATAATTCAGACAAAATGAAATTTTATTTAAAAATGGTCTAATGTGGTATTAATTTTATAACAGTAATTATTTTAAGTTATTTCTATAGTTTCATTGTATTGTCGGGGGTTTTTCCTATTACAATGAATGAATAATAATTCACTATTACTAACAGTTCAAACTAAGATATTATAATGGTCTTTGTCGTACGTACCTGAGCGGAACATAATTATGTAACATTTTTATTCGTTTGTATTAATTTTCCTGTCCGTTTACGATTTTATTAGGTAATTTATATACCAGGGGCGGGGGAGGGGCATTTTGATGTAGATTTAAATTGTAGTCTTTGACTTTTCAACTCTGAGTTCACAAGAGAGTCAACAATATTTCTGTTTTTGTACATTTTCTGATAAGTATTTAAAGTTATTTAGCTCACAGCAAGATGCGCGCTGATTTAGCCGCAAAATGGCCGCAAAAAATATACCACGTAGTAGTTCACGCGAGTAGTACAGATTTAAATAAAACACTAGGGAGACTATCGCCGACTCCCCGTGACCACGGCTGCTGCATAGTATCTGAAACGTCGGGCCGTAGTTAAAAATAATTTTCAAATAAGTTTAACTAATATACATCGCGTTTTAAACCGCTAAAGTGTTTTGTTTAAATATACATATAGTTTTCACGTCACAAAATTGCATAAGCACCAACAAAGCAATATTAAACTAAACCACGTTTCCTTTGTAACCACTTCAAAACAGAACATGAAAGTATTAATTGAGTCCCTGTTTCACAATTTAGCGATATATGGAAAAAGTCTATGAAAACGTTATATGTCAAACATGATACTCGTCGTGTTGATTAAAATTTCAACTCAAACAGTCATGTTTACTTTATTATAATTAATTATGTTATCATGCCAAACGTTCTGATAACATTTATGTTTTATATTTGCCTTTTTGTGAAATACCAAATAAAGACCAATCAGTATCAATTTAAAATGTTGTTGTAAATATGTACAAAAGATAATTACAGCGACATAAAAATGAGTTACAATGTATATGAGTTACAGGGTTTATTACTTGTGACAGACTTGTTGCTCTAATGGTAGGTATCTTTACCATGAGACTGACTTAAAGACTAATTATAATTATACCATTAAGCGATTCGATTTTCAAAAATGATTTCGATTGTTGGATTCCCCTTGGACACCTGTTTGTAAAAAAAACGGAATCATGTTAGACTTTGCTTCAAAAATCGGGACATTAAACACCACTAAGAACCAAATTACCAGGCTAAGTGAAAAAAGTATGACAAATCATAAATAAACAGTAACATATTTAGACTAGCACTTTTTAAATTGCTACATAGTAACAGAGATACATTCTATTACGTAAGCATTACCTATTTGTTTCTTTCTAACCGTTTAAATATGATATATGTGATATACAATAATAATAGTAAAAAATAGGTAATTGTCAGACGCCTTGCTAAGCATTGCGATAAGGTTTAGTATATAACAGTTTAAAACGCGATCTCTACGTGACCACGGCTACTGCAAAGCATCTGAAATGTCGGCCCGAAGTTAAAAATCATTTTCAATTAAGTTTAACTAGTATATCGCGTTTTATTTAAATGTGTACTAAACGCGTAAACTATAAACAGTATTTAAATACTTATCTGTAAATCTATTTAAAAAATGTACCTCGAAACGTGCCTTACACAAGACATTATAGATTAAAAGGCGTGAGGTTATTAGATAGTATCAAAAACATAATATAAACAATGTAAGGCGTTAAACTAGGCTGGCATGCAAAATTTATAACGTAAATTAATATTTACATGATAAAAATGCCTGGGGTATGAAGAAACCCTCACTAACAAGAAAGAATATGTGCACATTATATACACATTAAGTGTGTAACGAATTTTAGGAAATTGCAATAAAAACTTCGCAATTAAAAGGCGTGGCGGCGAGTTTTTTGCCAGTTCTTCTCTTTCGTTCTACGCCCTTAACTTGAGAACTGGTAGTAACAGTAAAGTTATAAAATGTAAAAGAGTTTATAATTTTTAATTGTTTTGACGTTCATAAGTGTATCTACTTGAATATGTAATTTTTGATGTTTTTTTAAACAGACATAACTGTGACACATAGAGTATAAATAAATTACGGACTAATACAAAGAGATAAACAAAATATAGTACAATTACAGTACTGCAAATACAACAAGATTTTTTAATAACTAATTTCACATTTAAACTGCCTTTATTTTTAATAAATAAAGTTTATTTCTTTTACTCAGGGGTTTGTTTAATTGAACAAGAGAGTGGAAGGAATACAACAGCACTCAATGTTAAATCAGCAAGAAAGCAGTATTATGGATTATTTCAAGTAAGTAAATAATAAATAAAAATTGATCTTTATAAACAAATTAAGGCTTTGATATTCGAGTCTTATGGTCGTCGAAGGTCGTTTAGGGACACAATGTATACAAATTTGGTAAATTTTGAAAGGCTGTTTGTGTTTTGTTTAATTTTTATTTAAAAAGACAGGGAAACAAAAGCAGATAATAATTATTTAGAAAATATTTATTTATTTTTTAATCTTGAAATTACATTGCGCGAGAGATGGTTGTACCAATGAGTTGAAAAAAAATCGACGATTACGTGTGGGTCTCGGTAGCTCAATAGGTTAGAGCTACAGCATGGAACGTTAACGATGCCGGTTCAAGTCCTGCACGAGTCGTAATTTTTTTTTCATATTTAATTTATGTAGATAATTGTTCAAATAAGCAATACACAATGCTAAACTAATATTGCCCTACTTCGTGACGATTTATTCAATAAATTGAATATTTTGTTTCAGATTGGGAATGAATATTGCAAAGAAGGCCGAAAAGGAGGTAAATGCAATGTCGCGTGTGAAGGTAATTATTATTTTTAAATACGATGCACTTAACCTTTAACTGTCAAGGGGATTGCTATTTTTGGAAGACAAGGAAAATGATATTTCAGTTGTTTCACCAGATTTGATGTTAAATGACTTAAACACAAAGCACATTATTCTTTTGTTCTTTTTTTATTAAAAAAAATAGTTTGAAGACATAGCAAATGGATATTTTTAACAAAGAAAGATACAGAAATCATATTAGTTTATTTTGTTAACATTTATATTAATTAAAAATCGATTATAGATTGATAAAAATTTACGATACGGGACGTGAACCGGCATTCACAGGATTCCATACTGTTGCTCTAATACTCTTATAATTTTGAAATATATACTAAGGAACCCAAAACAAAGTGGAAATCTACTAATAATAACTTAAATGCTCAAAAGGAAAAGCTGAATCTGTAAATATACCTAGATTAAAGATATTTCTAAGTTGAGGGCTATAGTGAAAGTTCAATTTTCCAGCATTACTCGATGACGACATAAGAGATGACTGCTCGTGCGCACTGCAAGTTTTCGAGGAGGAAGGTTTTAAATATTGGAGCAAATGGGAGAACCGCTGTAAGGGGGAACGACTGCCTGACATTGAAAAGTGAGTTTGGAAAAGATTATCTAAATAGGTATTTGCATTGCGCTTGGTTGCTTGAGGTGGTTATAATAAATTATTTCGGCTTGACAGTGTAAATTTTTTATCACCTTTGCATGGCCTCTAAGTAAAACGGAACAATAAAATGGACACAAAAATGTGTTCGCCTCAAGCCCCACTGGGATACGGAATTTCACTAACACACGCGGGCGTATTATTTTTAAATACATTTTTTTTTGATGTTTACTTTATTTAAATATACAGCAAATATAAGTTCGTGTTTTGAACTAAGTAACACTATAATTTCAGATGTCCAGACTGGCAGTATCCACCACGAGCATCACCAGACAGATTCAAAAGAACACCACTGAGGAGTAGACTAACGGAACCTTACCCTTATAATATCTTAACTAAATACCAAAGACTAAAACGTAGAAAGTAAGGTTAGTTTCAAAATTAATAAAATATTTTAAAAGGCTGTGTGTTTTATTATTTTAATGTTGATACTATATTTTGATTGCCCCTGTGGTTCAATGGTTAATCTAAATTAACAAATACGATATATAGAGTGTTTCATTAAGATCGAGAGATCCTGGATTGGAGTCCCGGGAAATGTAATAAATATCTACGATGATATATTGTCTGATCAACTTCAGTATTGTCTGCAGTTTACACATTTATATAAATGACAAAAACGCGACATATATAGAATAACTTATTTTAAACTACGGCCAAATGTTTCTGATGCTTTTTAGCAAAGCCCTTGTTAACCGTTGTGTTTTATTAAAAAAAACAGCTTACTTGTAAAAACTCAATCAGTGAATTACACCCCCAAATGAAAGATGTAGACGAGAAGGTTATTTGTTTAGTTTAACAAATAGGCTGGGTCTAAAACTATGATTAACGTGCCCAATACAAATATGTAGTTTATTAAAAACTAGTAGGTATTATGTTAATCATTTAAATAAAACACTCAACACGATTGAAAATGCAAAATATATTAGTTAACTTATTTACATTTTTTTTTAAATACGGTCCGACGTTTCGGTTACTTTTCATTGGTCTTAGGAGAACTAAAGATAGAGGGCGTCCTTAATGTCACAGTCAAATCTTCTACGCTAACGCCATCTGTTTCGTCGTAGTTCGTATTTGAAGAAAAGCTGGGTCTTAACATGATTTTGGCCGATTCGGTGCAAATAGTAAATTTCAAAACGTTAATGAGCTATAAAAAAGTCGGTCTAATTTCCAGTTGAAAACTTCAAGCAAGGTAATAAGATTTATGTTTTTCTAAATTAGTACTTAGTGAGTTAAGGGGAGAGCTTTGATTAAACTCATAAAGTATTTTGAGTCAAGATTGCCGTATGACTGGCGTTCGATTGAATTTTCCACACAAAAGCTGGATATATACGGTGTTATATTCGCAAAAGAAACGTCGCGATTTTTACAAAACAATTATGTAATCATTATTCCAATATAATGCATCGTAAAAGTATGTAATTATTTTTTTAAATATAAGTTTCTATAAATCTACTCATTCAAGCAAGGTTTGTCTACATTTGATGTTTAAACTCTTTTATTATTATATTAGATTTGAACGTCAAATGTTATTAGCAAAACTAAACGAATTACACTTTTATATGGGCAAGGAGGTGGACATTTTAAAAGACAAAAATAAATTAAAATTCCGTGAATTTTCCGTTTAAGGTGGTAGCATAATGGAAATTTCCACGGAACCCGACCTGTCGTATTTTTCATGGAATTAAAGTGTTTTCGTTGATCGCAGTACTACTTGATGTTAAATTACTGTGATGGACTAGAATTTTATTTTTAATGGAAATTATATTGGTTTCTTTGAAAGCTGTTTTATTTTGTAATTTAAGCACAAAATTATTTTACTTGGCTTAACACCATTTGTAAAGATAATGTTTATTAAAAGGACATTATTAATAAATAAAATGGCATATACGGGTAATAATCAGGGGGTCGTGTCTAATCAATTTATAACTTGTCTGAAACATATGGACTTCGTCTAGAAATCTGGATAGTAAATGGGTGGTTGGAATATCGAAATTCCGTCTCGATCACGAACCGTCCACAGTCCAGAAAAAGCCGACAAGTTTAATCGCGTTTCGCTTTCAATCTGTGGATCTCCGAATATCGAAAGCCAAAATAAGTCAACAGCACATCTTGTTTGATGTTATATATCTGAGGTATTGCACTTTCCACCACGTAACCCCAAGACTTATCTGTTCTCCTCTATCTTAAAAAAAATTCAGACTAATCTAAAGCAAGCTCAGTGTAGATAGTTTTAATCCGATTCGCTAAGACCTGTTTTATGTACGAAAATTTGAAGTCCTTTCTGCATACATAATGTATATTTCAGATGCAAATAGAAAATTTCAATTTTACACAAAGCTGCTTCGCAATTTAATTTTGTTTTTGTTTGGTTATACGGTTTTGTTGCATTTAGAAGCGCCAGCTTATCCTAAATAAAAAAGTGCTTTGTCATCTATACTAATATATAAGACTGAAGAGTTTGTTTGTTTGAACGCGCTAATTTTAGGAACTACTGGTTTCAATTCAATAAGTATTTTTGTGTTGGTTAGAACATTTATCTTGGAAGACTATAGGTTAAAACACCACGTTGCGATTAAAAGGAGCGAAGAACCAGAGGAAAATGAAAAACGATCGGGGATTATTATTCTCCTTATTAGTTTCCGTCGCGTACGCTGCGCAAGCGGTTCAAGATACCAAACAATATAATATATGAAACAGTGATTCCTCTTTAAATGGTCTAAAAAAAAGTTCGCGACAATATATAAGATTAACTTGCAAGAACGAGGAGTTGTGGAAGACGCCTTGACACCTTAAAATTGTAGCCTTGAACTTGAAGTTTGCAAAAATAAATTTTGATGTCCAAAATAACTATTCTGCGCGGACAAAGTCGCTGACACAGCTAGTCTGTATAGATAGAAGTTTAACGTTACAAATAAATATGTTATGCAAGTATATAATCTAATAAATAAGAAATGTGACAAAAAAAAACTAATCGGATAGTATTTATTTTATGAAGCTTTCTGTTTTGTGTATGCCGTGTTTTATTAAGCTAAAACTAAACTAAGTTTAAAAAATGTTATACCTAAAGCTATTCTAAGACTCAAGATCAACATTCTTCACAAACTTATTTCACTTAACCCCAAACTTCACTTAACGTTCCTAAAAGCTGAATTACCGTTTATACCCTAAAAAAAACAAAAGAAACCTGTAACTTCGCGATAAACTTGATGATGATGAACAAAAGCAAACTTTTTCACGAGAAAGAAAGGTAGAAATATCACGAAATTTAATTAAAATAAACCCGAGTATTCATATACATGTCGCAGCCACTCGGGGAATATCGGTTATTTGCTGAACGACTATGTTTGTGTTGCTAATGTATGATATTGATATTCTGTGCGCTTGCAATAACATGTAGAGGGAATATTTTTGTAAATAGTCTATCTGTGGGGTCGTTTTAAAGCGCCGACAACCCCAAGGAAGATTGCTGTGTACTTACTATGATTGTTTCTGTCGAATATAAATAAGGTGAGAGATGTATTTGAAATATGCGATAATAACATTTTGTGGGTACAACTTTTATTCACACCACTATTGATAAAGTAGTTTTTGACCTATTTTGTTATAAAGCCTTGATACTATATTTTAGCATTTATTTTTCTTTATGTCGCTTTAGTTAATTTGTTGCTCAACAAGTAACGTCTATATAATTGTTTAATATATAAAGACAATATATTCCCATACAAGTACAAAAAATCATAATTAATTACTCAATTTCAAATTGAGAATGTATACTCGTATGTATTGTATTACAATATCTTTTGGAGACACCGATAGAAGGCCGGGTGATCAACACGTACCATCTATTTGTTGTTATTTGTATGTATGTACTATAAATTAAGTTTTTAGTCACTTAATTTACGTCGGACTGTAATCTATGTTTTCTGTTGCTACGGATTACCACACAACGTTACAAAGCAAGATGTATCAATCAATTGAGTTTTCTCCACACTGAAAGTTTAGCGAAAAACCGAATTCACCAGACCGTCTGCAGCGCATTCTAGCGTCAACTTGGCTGCGTAAGGGATTACTCTAAATAAATAAGTCTGTAAAACCTCGGCAACTTTGAGCATAATACAGTTTATGAGCAAAACCGTGCGATACGTGACCTCGCATTGCTTAACTTTGAAATTCGCTATAGCTCAAGTAACTTTGTACGTGAAATATTGATGCTTTCGAGAGCTAAGTTTGCTTTTTTCGTTTACCACTTAGTGGCACTTGATAGCGCCGTGTTTCATAAGTTTCCTTCGCGACGTGACTTCTTTTAATGTCGTTTTTGGTTCTTGATCTGTCCCGCTGTTCGACACATGTAGCTACATTTTTTTAATACATCGGAGGACAGACAAACATGGCAAACCTATTTTGGGTTTGGATATTGGGAAATCTACAGACTGACTCCGAAACGTGAATAAACTTCACGGCTTTTTTTATTGTGTTAATTTTGTAAACTATTAAAAACAAAGACTTTTAATGGTTTAAAACACGAAATGTTTTAAATGACTTACTGACATTTTATTTCAACGATTGTAAAAAAATAATACATTTCGCATTTTAAACCGTTAAAAGTGTTTCATTATAATATGTACTATTCGCGTAAAGTAGCTAATTTTAAAATACTAAACGAAAATGAAGTCCTTAGTTCATTTTTACTTATTATTACTTTTATAGAAAGTCCCATGGCCCTTGGCTTATACTAAAGAAAACTAATTTGCATGTTTAACTTCTAAATTAGGGATTTGGTTCCACGAAGTTAAAGTAAGCGGTATTTCATCTGAAATTATGAACAATACTAACTCAATCAAACGAATACCTGTTAAATGGACGGGTGGATAAGACTGGCTCGCCGAATGCAGTTTGATCACCTTAAAACCCAAATAACATAAGGACAGCGTATTATAGAAACACAATGCTTAATTAATTTTCATGCAAATCTGAAAATTTTAATATTTGCACATGTCACATGATTTCCATCTAATTTAGTCTTCACTCTGTCTTTATATAACTTTGCATGTTTTGTCTGTCTGTAATTGTTTTACACATTTATATTCCACCGATTTAAAGTTAAGTTAGACCAAGTATGTCTGTAATTGTGATAAAACGTCGACAGTCAACAAAATACTTTAACGGTTTAAAACGTGAAATAATTAGTTAAACTTACTAGCAAATCACAGCTGCTGCAAAGCATCCGAAACATCGCGCTATAGTTAAAATACTTCGTAAATTGGTTATATATGTCGCGTTTTAAACCGTTAAAGTGTTTTATTTAAATTTGTACTACTCGCGTAAACTACAGACAGTACGAAATGGCAAATCTCAAAGAAAATA